TTTTCATGAAAAAATTTACTAGCATTTTTTTTTTAAAGAACAAACGATTTTCCATCGATTATGTCCTTATACATTTTTTGCCAAATTTCATATTTTTGCCACTATAACGCGCCAGAAGAAAATTAAATATTTTACGGGTTTTCACATTTTTCAAAAAAGTCCATTAAAGTTTTTCAAGAAAAATGTATGTTTCATTTTCATCGCTGCCCTAGTAAAATTTGTCAAAAGAAATCAAAACCTTCATTGTTATCTGGGTCTCTATGCTGTACTAAAAGTATGTCTGATTCTGGTGAAATAAAGTGTAAAAACCAGTTGTGTAATAACGATATAAAAATTTAATTTTTCTTGGATAAACTAACTTTAAAAAGAGCCTTCGAAATTATATGCAAACTTTATAATTAACTTCATACTGCACAAGTTTTCAATGAAAAAATAGCCTAAATTACATCAAAGTCAATTAAAAAACACTCCATTTTCTGTTGATAAAAGCTGCTGGTAATGGAAAAAGGAACTATTTAATTTAAACACATTTAAATGCAGACGATTACAAATAATAAGCTTACAAAAAAAAAAACATTAAATTCTTAAAAGTGGGTAAGGAAATTCGTGAATGTATATAGGAACAACGCTATTTAAATGTTGACTTTAAAATGTTTTATTTCGTGAAAGAATTTTAAAATTTAAGTGGAAAAATGTAGATTTTCTTATTTAACATTTAGTAAACCGTGCAAAAATAATTTTCCCTTCAACTGAATCAAAATATTCAAATTATGTTTATATTTTATAATATTTTTATATATATATATATATATATATATATATATATATATATATATATATTTATAATAAACTTTATACCCTTTAGAAACTTCTTGAGCTTTCATATCTCACATTGCATACATATCACTTTGAGCACACCATTTTATTTTTACGTAACAACTTAAAGCCGGTATTTTGTATTCTTTTCACATTACTTTTCTTAGATTAAATTCATAGAAATTCATAGAAATTCATAGAAATTCATAGAAATTCATAGAAATTCATAGAAATTCATAGAAATTCATAGAAATTCATAGAAATTCATAGAAATTCATAGAAATTCATAGAAATTCATAGAAATTCATAGAAATTCATAGAAATTCATAGAAATTCATAGAAATTCATAGAAATTCATAGAAATTCATAGAAATTCATAGAAATTCATAGAAATTCATAGAAATTCATAGAAATTCATAGAAATTCATAGAAATTCATAGAAATTCATAGAAATTCATAGAAATTCATAGAAATTCATAGAAATTCATAGAAATTCATAGAAATTCATAGAAATTCATAGAAATTCATAGAAATTCATAGAAATTCATAGAAATTCATAGAAATTCATAGAAATTCATAGAAATTCATAGAAATTCATAGAAATTCATAGAAATTCATAGAAATTCATAGAAATTCATAGAAATTCATAGAAATTCATAGAAATTCATAGAAATTCATAGAAATTCATAGAAATTCATAGAAATTCATAGAAATTCATAGAAATTCATAGAAATTCATAGAAATTCATAGAAATTCATAGAAATTCATAGAAATTAAGTTGACAATCGTATCAAGTTCAATTTTTTTTTTTTTTTTTAATTCGTTAATAACTATTTTTTCTATTTAATTTTTTTTTATCTACTCAAGCATTTCTGCAACCTATCTGAAAAGAAAAGGACGTTTTTCTGTAAACATAACAAATTGTGCTACCAATTCGATTACGTGTGAATTCGAAGTAATAATTTCTACCGATTTTCGATTTAGATGTCAATGGAGATAAAAGTATCATTGAGGCTAATGGAGCCTAACCTAATTTTAAACATCATCCCATTTGTTATAGAAATAAAAAGAAATGATAACTGAAGACTTCTTAAAAATGCTGCTACCAAAAAAATGTTACGCTAGACTACCAGACCTTGAAGGTTTCGAATCGTTTACTTTTTGTCTCTGATTAAACACACGATTGCTATCATTTAAAAAGCAATATCGAATTCTTTTAAATACTTTACTATGACATTTTAGAATCTGATTGTTGGAAGGACTGAAGTTGTAAAATAAATCAGATTTTCAGCGAAATAGGAAGTAGTTAAAGTTCAGTTATATATTATTTTATTGGTTCAGTTGAAACTTGTTTTTTAATTGGTATAACCTTAAAAATTAGCATTCGAAATATTCTAATTGTTTCATCAGTCACAAAAATAAATATATATTTTTAAAAAATGTAGAAATATATTTTTATCAATGACATTATTTTCAACATTCACCTATTTACAACTACGCATTAGATTGTATTATTTGTCATTTCCATTCATTATTTCAAAACATCGATCGGTTACACGTTCATTGCAATCGTCGCTTATCAGTCTGTCCACCTATATATCACGTCCAATCATCTCCTATCACGTCGTAAACATGTACAGAGATATATATGTTTGTATCTCACTCTAAACATATCTGCAATCAACTTCAAACCCACGCTCCGTAAATAATGCATCCAAATATTTGCAGGTATGGAAATATCAATTAATTGAAAATTTATCATTATATATTATTATAGAAATTAATTATTTATTAACGTTACATTTGGGATTGCCAAATGGACACGCTACAGGTTTGATTTGCCCTTAAATTATGATAACATAAAAATTTCAATAATGTGGTTTATATCCCACTAAATAACCATCATAGAACATCTTTGTCTCCCACCGAACTCATACTTTAAAAAACAGTTACACAAAAATTGGACTAAAAAATCAATAAGACAGAACTTCAAAACCCCGTGCGAACTTTAAATAAACTAAATCTAACTTAAGTTTTTATATTTAAATTCTTCAGAAAACCGACATTCAATATCTCCAAGAAATCCTCTTCCTACTTTCGCTTTTTTCACAACCGCAGAATTTTAAATGAGTACCATAAAGAAATTTAAGAACACGAAGTGTCATAAAAAGCTGCCATAAATTTTCTAAGATCGAAGTTTTACAAAGACTTTATAATTCAACATCTGGATCGAAGTAACAAGGGAATACTTTTATAGAATCATTTAAATTTGAGCCTTGCGTAAGGTAAAATCATTATAAAATCTTAGAATAGTTTTTTATTGAGTTGAATGAATTGTTGAATGTTGTCTGCATCTTGATTGAGAGAGTTTTTTTAGGAAACCCCTGAAAACTATTAAAGACAGTTAAATATAATAAGAAATTTGTCTAGAGTCAACCGAAATAAATGTCATTTTGTCAACGTCACTTGTGAATGTCTTATTAATATGTCATGTGTCTATCATCAGGACGTCTTGATCTTTGATGGCGATCTTCAATAAATCATTGTTAATCAAGATAATGTATTTATTACAATATTAATGGTTTAAATACTACCATTTTAAATTTTTTACACACTAGTGCCTTCCACTCTTCATTTCAATAATAATTATCAATATTTTACTTATATTTATATTTCAATTTGATTCCAATATCGAGACTATATAACATAAAATTGTATTACTACTATAACGTAACATGTATGGAAATGAGTATACCTATTACAGTTCCCAGTTTTCCAATTTTCAAGGCGATATGAGTAAACCGCATTTGCAAGTTTTTTCTTTTATTGCAGTCATAAATTTCTAATACTCGCTTCGTGGAATGAAAATTAGTAGAACATAAGGGATTCGTTTGAATGAATTATTGTTATTTTCTAAGGACTTTTTCTGGATGAAATATAGTAACGTAGTTAACAAAATCGAACTATATAAATCATAAATGAATTTCGAAGAATAAAGGTCAGTTCTTTTATATTAAAATGAAGGAAGTGATTAATTAGACCATAACAACAGTTTGAAACTTGTAAAAGTGTTATTTGTACGATTTAATAAATATTAAATTGTTTTATCTATATTATCCAAGGTTTCCTAATCAGACCCCTATTAGCTTTCACTAGTGCCAACATTTATAATTAATAAACACAAAATCATCCTAATAAAATCTACTTCATTTTTTACTTTTCGACTGTGATTTATACCATAGAGATTTATTTGTACGTTTTTAAAATAACCACTATAAATAAACATTTAGTAAATCAAATTTTGACTGGTATTACTTACATTTCTTTATTTGTCTTTTAATTATTTTTAATTTTGTGATAAATTTTTACAAGTTTCTTAAATATAGATCCTAAACCATGAATTATTGAGATAAGAACAATCAGACTGATAAAAAAAACAGCAAGACATTTAAATGAACAATATACAATAACTATCACATTTTGCATATACCACAAAAATATTTTGGATATACGAGTATTTAAAAGTTCTATTCCCATCTGAATTTGTCCATCATTTGTGGTGTTTATTCAGTTTAAATTGCCTCCAAACTGTCATTATTTTACCTAGAAATTATTTAGTTTTGGAACTGTTTATTTTAAATGTTAAAAAGTATAAAGTAACATTTGTTTCAGCACCCATGTAGAGAATGTCTACTATAATATTTATAGAATAATGTAAAGCTTATAAAAAACTGTAATGCTATTTTTAAAATTAATTTAGCCACAGAAATGTTATTACAATATAAAATAAATATATATTATGCTTTAAAAAGAAAATTGTTGAAAGGTAATTTTCATTCTTTTATACTTTTATAGATCATTTAGCTAGTATAAATAATTCAGTATATTTTAAAAATAAAACTTTATATTGTGTCGTGTTGACCTTTCCTAAACAAGCAATTGAGTTTGTCTTTCCATTTCACTTGTGACCTCTGTAAAGGAACTTTACAGTTTCCATTTACTTTCATTAGAGAGAGAGAGAAATGTTCTTAATACACTTGACCTGTAGGACAAAGGGAATATAAAAATATTTGTTCTTTGGGATCAATCGATATAAAAACAGAAGAGTTATTTATTTGATGTTTCTTGTTTTTTTAATAAATGTATTAGAAAAACACTCTTGAATGTTTTTGTTTTTCTTTCAGGTCACTATATTTTCTTATCAAGAAGTAACGACTGGGATCTACGATTGCTGGGCAACTTTTAAAGAGGAATGGGGTGAACGAGCGTATGTAATTTGGTAAGTATGTATTTACTCTATTCGTATATTTTATAACAGTTTTATCAATTATAATTATTAATATTTAAAATCGTATAAAATCGTTATAGAAATTCTTAAACAATCATAGAAAATCATAGAAAATCATATAAAATCATAGAAAAAATCATAGAAAAATCATAGAAAATCATAAGAAAATCATAGAAAATCATAAAAAAATCATAGAAAATCATAGAAAATCATAGGAAATCATAGAAAATCATAGAAAATCATAGAAAAATCATAGAAAATCATAGAAAAATCATAGAAAATCAATAGAAAATCATAGAAAATCATAGAAAATCATAGAAAATCATAGAAAATCATAGAAAATCATAGAAAATCATAGAAAATCATAGAAAATCATAGAAAATCATAGAAAATCATAGAAAATCATAGAAAATCATAGAAAATCATAGAAAATCATAGAAAATCATAGAAAATCATAGAAAATCATAGAAAAATCATAGAAAATCATAGAAAATCATAGAAAATCATAGAAAATCATAGAAAATCATAGAAAATCATAGAAAATCATAGAAAATCATAGAAATCATAGAAAATCATAGAAAATCATAGAAAATCATAGAAAATCATAGAAAATCATAGAAAATCATAGAAAATCATAGAAAATCATAGAAAAATCTTAGAAAAATCATAGAAAATCATAGAAAATCATAGAAAATCATAGAAAATCATAGAAAATCATAGAAAATCAAGAAAATCAATAGAAAATCATAGAAAATCATAGAAAATCATAGAAAATCATAGAAAATCATAGAAAATCATAGAAAATCATAGAAAATCATAGAAAATCATAGAAAATCATAGAAAATCATAGAAAATCATAGAAAATCATAGAAAATCATAGAAAATCATAGAAAATCATAGAAAATCATAGATAATCTTAGAAAATCATAGAAAATCATAGAAAATCATAGAAAATCATAGAAAATCATAGAAAATCATAGAAAATCATAGAAAATCATAGAAAATCATAGAAAATCATAGAAATATAGAAAATCATAGAAAATCATAGAAAATCATAGAAAATCATAGAAAATCATAGAAAATCATAGAAAATCATAGAAAATCATAGAAAATCATAGAAAATCATAGAAAATCATAGAAAATCATAGAAATATCATAGAAAATCATAGAAAATCATAGAAAATCATAGAAAATCATAGAAAATCATAGAAAATCATAGAAAATCATAGAAAATCATAGAAAATCATAGAAAATCATAGAAAATCATAGAAAATCATAGAAAATCATAGAAAATCATAGAAAATCATAGAAATCATAGAAAATCATAGAAAATCATAGAAAATCATAGAAAATCATAGAAAATCATAGAAAATCATAGAAAATCATAGAAAATCATAGAAAATCATAGAAAATCATAGAAAATCATAGAAAAATCATAGAAAATCATAGAAAATCATAGAAAACATAGAAAAATCATAGAAAATCATAGAAAATCATAGAAAATCATAGAAAATCATAGAAAATCATAGAAAATCATAGAAAATCATAGAAAATCATAGAAAATCATAGAAAATCATAGAAAATCATAGAAAATCATAGAAAATCATAGAAAATCATAGAAAAATCATAGAAAATCATAGAAAATCATAGAAAATCATAGAAAATCATAGAAAATCATAGAAAATCATAGAAAATCATAGAAAATCATAGAAAATCATAGAAAATCATAGAAAATCATAGAAAATCATAGAAAATCATAGAAAATCATAGAAAATCATAGAAAATCATAGAAAATCATAGAAAATCATAGAAAATCATAGAAAATCATAGAAAATCATAGAAAATCATAGAAAATCATAGAAAAATCATAGAAAATCATAGAAAATCATAGAAAATCATAGAAAATCATAGAAAATCATAGAAAATCATAGAAAATCATAGAAAATCATAGAAAATCATAGAAAATCCATAGAAAATCATAGAAAATCATAGAAAATCATAGAAAATCATAGAAAATCATAGAAAATCATAGAAAATCATAGAAAATCATAGAAAAATCATAGAAAATCATAGAAAATCATAGAAAATCATAGAAAATCATAGAAAATCATAGAAAATCATAGAAAATCTAGAAAATCATAGAAAATCATAGAAAATCATAGAAAATCATAGAAAAATCATAGAAAATCATAGAAAAATCATAGAAAATCATAGAAATCATAGAAAATCATAGAAAATCATAGAAAATCATAGAAAATCATAGAAAATCATAGAAAATCATAGAAAATCATAGAAAATCATAGAAAATCATAGAAAATCATAGAAAATCATTAGAAAATCATAGAAAATCATAGAAAATCATAGAAAATCATAGAAAATCATAGAAAATCATAGAAAATCATAGAAATCATAGAAAATCATAGAAAATCATAGAAAATCATAGAAAATCATAGAAAATCAATAGAAAATCATAGAGAAAATCATAGAAAATCATAGAAAATCATAGAAAATCATAGAAAATCATAGAAAATCATAGAAAATCATAGAAAATCATAGAAAATCATAGAAAATCATAGAAGAAATCATAGAAAATCATAGAAAATCATAGAAAATCATAGAAAATCATAGAAAATCATAGAAAATCATAGAAAATCATAGAAAATCATAGAAATCATAGAAAATCATAGAAAATCATAGAAAATCATAGAAAATCATAGAAAATCATAGAAAAATCATAGAAAATCATAGAAAATCATAGAAAATCATAGAAAATCATAGAAAATCATAGAAAATCATAGAAAATCATAGAAAATCATAGAAAATCATAGAAAATCATAGAAAATCATAGAAAATCATAGAAAATCATAGAAAATATTAGAAAATCATAGAAAATCATAGAAAATCATAGAAAATCATAGAAAATCATAGAAAATCATAGAAAATCATAGAAAATCATAGAAAATCATAGAAAATCATAGAAAATCATAGAAAATCATAGAAAATCATAGAAAATCATAGAAAATCATAGAAAATCATAGAAAATCATAGAAAATCATAGAAAATCATAGAAAATCATAAAAAAATCATAAAAAAATCATAGAAAATCATAGAAAATCATAGAAAATCATAGAAAATCATAGAAAATCATAAAAAATCATAGAAAAATCATAGAAAATCATAGAAAATCATAGAAAATCATAGAAAATCATAAAAAATTATAGAAAATCGAAGAAAATCTTAGAAAATCGTAGAAAATTGTATAAAATCTTAGAAAATCACAGAAAATCGTAGAAAATCGTATAAAATCGTAGAAAATCGTAGAAAACCGTAGAAAAATCGTAAAAAATCATCGAAAATCGTAGAAAATCGTAGAAAATCATAGAAAATTATAGATTATCATAGAAAATCATAGAAGAATTATCGAAAATCGTGAAAAAGAATAGAAAATCATAAAAATTATGGAAATTGTTGAAAATTGTGGGAAATCGTTGACAATTATGGAAAGGCATAGAAATTGATAGGTAGCATTAAAGATGTTATCCTAAAAATTTGATTACATTTTTTTTATGTTCTTAATGTTTATAATCCCATAACGTAGCATTTTAATAAACAAAACTAATAAATTTTTCACTAAGTGACATTCTAATAAAATAAGCACGTCGAATCAACAACCAAAAAGGCAAAAGAAGTCAAAAATTAAACTAATATGTTTCCAACTTCTCTTGTGTTTAGAGGGAGAAGCGCAAGAAGCTTGATATGCTTTTTATGTGGCCACTTGCATTTATTTGTATTGTGTTGTTTCTAGACGCGAAAAACGCTCAAAAAGTTTAAACTGCTAAAAATGTTACAACTTTACTCGCTTTCTGTCTGGCCATACATTTACTATTGCAGACGTCTCCATGAAATTTTAACCATGCTATGCTTTTGTATCATTAGATTTAATATTAAAAATCATAGGAATAATTCTTTTTGGATTAGATAATTATTTAATTATTAAATACTAACTCATGTAAATTTGTCATAAATTTGACAGAATTAGACAAATTTTAACTATTTTAAATAGAAAGCAATAGGCAATAGGCAATTCATCTTAATTTATTTTATGTTTATTCAAATTTTAATGACTAATAATTTTATATGACATTTTCTTTTTGTAAAGTAATTTTAAACTTGAATAACTCATAAATGGCTACAAATAGCGATGAGTGGTTCTATATATGCTTCTTTAATGAACAAAAACTCTTGTGTGGCAACTTTATGATTGCATTAGGCAGCTAAATCGTATTTATGCAAAACATAAAATAAATTGCTGCTATGAGCTTCCAACAAGCCAAAATTATACGAGTTGAAATTTAACAGCTTAGCTGTTTTTTATTGAGCAATAAAACAAAACCTTCGTTCTTCTAACCTTCGGATTCTCTTGTTTTCTTAGACTATATACAAGATTTAGGGCCGAGTCGTAACAAAAGTGGAAAAGTATTAGAGCAGAACGGAAGTTTTGTTTGTTTCGAAAAAGCGCACGGTTTTCGAATAATATTTCGGAAACTTTTCGCATTTTCTCGTTTAGTAGAATCCCAGTATAGAAAATAATTAGTAGTAGCACTCTCCTGATCTTTAAAAGTAAAAAAATTCAGCTGAACGATCATTTTTCGTCGCCTTAATGTAGAACTATTATATGTCACAAAATATGAATTTTACAGAAAAAATATTTTTTTCTTCAGAAATAAATAAAAGGTTTATGTTCTACAATATTTTTTACTAAGCTGTAAGAGGAAAACCACTGCAGATAGAGTTACAATATTTGTATATGGGATAGATAGAGAGCACCATAGCTTCATTTGGTATTAAAAACGAAAATTGGCATTTTTTTGGACATTCAATAGTTCTGCATTAGGGCGACGTTTTGTTTACGATTTGTTTTCAAAACCTCAAACCTGTCAAAAAATTGAATGACATTTGGTTGGCACAAAGAAGGTTATGTGAATTGTTTA